GAGAGAGAGAGAGAGAGAGAGAGAGAGAGAGAGAGAGAGTCAGTCATACTTCAAATTCTGGAACTTTAACCCCTGAAAGCGTCTCTCTGAAAACAGCTGGCTGATTCCCAAGGGTCTCTCAAGTCTCCCAGCTTTTCTTCTGCTGGGTACAAGGGCAGAGCAGGAGGACTCTGAGATCGGAGTGTTTAGGGATGCTCCCAGATCTGCTATTTAGTTTCGTGTTCCTCTAAGCCCTTCTGGAACCTGACAACTTAAAAAGTATTTGGGGCTAGCGAACAGCCAGCGAGCTGTGGAGGAGGTGTGTGTTGGAGGTGGGCAGTCGCTGGGAGGCTCCAGTGGTGGGTACTTCTTCGTAGCAACAGTAGCAGCTAGCTTGGGCAAGCAGTCCCCAGCACAAACTCCAGAGACACCATGCCTGCACCCCCACCTGGCCTCCGGCTTTCCTGCTAAGAGGAAGAGAGGCGGTGGCGAATGCATCCCGTTGTACAGAGCGAGGTAACCGTACTACCAGATGGCTGGCCGGGGAGGCTTGGGCGGGAGCAGGCAGCCACAGTCGGCCGGGGAAGCGGAGAATGGCGGACTCCAGCCCTGTCTGGCATTCTGCAGAGTCTGGCTTGCAGAGATTTTACTGGAGCCTTTCAAGGCAAGAGGGAGCCGGGAGGCTGCCGCGACTCCGGCAGCAGCATTGAGGCTTGCAAGGCACACGGCCTGGTTCTGTCAAACCACATCTTGCTCGTCTCCGCCAGCCTCTGAGCTTCCCGGGATCCTGGCAAGGGCTCCGGTGGGTTTCTCCCTGTGGCTGACCGTGAATGGGAGAGCGTGTGGGACTCCAGTCCTGTTTTTCTTTGTTATGAGAAGATTGCGGGGGCTCCCATGGCAGCCTTCTCCCAAGCTCCTAAGGCCAGAGGAAGAAATTTACGACAGAATTGGGCCTCAGAAACTATTCGTGGCCCGGTTTAGGTCTCAGGCCACTTCAAATCAGGATGGGATTCGGGCTTTTTATTGCCTAAGAAGCTGCTAATATTGTGGGGAGCCATCTCTTACATGAGGTCCGCTGGTGTTTCGAGATAGAGGCAGTGGTAGAAATCCTACCTTGAGGAAGGAGAATGAACGAAGAACTTCAACTGCTTGCTTCATCTTCTTAGGTTGAAACCCCCGGGGTTTTTACCCTACCAACCACCTCCGCCCCTAGCAGCCCAGGATTTATCTGGGACTGATTTTAGACTGTCCAACTGGGAGCCAGGCCGGCAGTTTGAGTTAGCCAGCCCCACTGAAGCTCAAAGAAGTTCCCTTTAGCTTGCTTTCTCTACAAAACGCCTTCCCCTCTCTGCCCCCCACAGCCAGCGATCTGAAAGATCCGGGAGAGTACAGCTTGCCTGCCGGCAGCGGAGAAGCACAGGCCCTTCTCTGATCTCGATCTCCCTCCAGCTTTCCCTGGCTACTTTTATTTATTTATTCTCAATTGGTATTGCTTAGGGTTGCGGGGAGGAGAAGACATAATTTTAAAGGCTGTTTCATCTTAAGGCCTATAACAGAGGATGAGAGGGTTACTATCCTCTCTCCTCCGGGTATATCTCTTCAAGTCCTTTCTCCCTTGTTTTTTATTTTTTATTTTTGCAAGACGCGGGTTATTCTGGGCCATTTGTCTATTGTGGAAAATAATGTCTCTTAGGAGGTTTCATTAAAAAAAATTCGCTGGCATGGCCTCTTGGATTTGACAAAAACCATTTCTCAAAGGGGGCACAGGGTTTTTGTTTTCTGTTTTGTTTTGGGTTTCTACCCGATGGCTTCCAAAAATATCGACGCCTTATCTTTATTGGCTCTTCCAGGAGTTCAGACAAATTTGACGGACAGCTCTCTTATCACCCAGAGCCTGTGCAGGGGAGATGCGGGGGGCCTTGCCGGCCTCCTCCCTGTCTGAAACGGGTATTTCGCAAGCAGTGGAGCGTGGTTGGAAAGTGTAACAATAAAAAGACTTTCCGAAGCCTCCTTCAGCTTGGAGTGAAGGGTCAAACAGCCGTCCCCTATGTCGCTAGACACTCTCCAACTCTCTCTCCTGTCGTCCTCAGAATAGAACCTCGGGCGGGCACAGGAACCTGGGCTCACCATGGCCGATACAGATGAGGGCTTCGGCCTGGCCCGCACTCCTCTGGAGCCTGATTCCAAAGACAGGTCTTGCGAATCGAAACCCGACAGTGCTCTGGGAGCTCCCAGTAAGTCTCCCTCATCCCCGCAGGCCGCCTTCACCCAACAGGTAAGAAAAGTCTGCCCAGCGGCAGGGGGGCGGGTAGGGCCAGTTATTCCCCCCACTTCCTGGCTAGTCTCCTCCAGTATCCCCCAATTCCACTCTACCCCAATCCATTTTATCGAGGCGTTTATCTTTATGGCCTGCGTATTTTAGAAACCTATTTACATTATTGGAGAGCTCTCAATTATCCGACTATTTGGGGTCAGCTAACAAAGGCACAGATAATTCTCTTCCAGCTGCCCTGAGTATGCCTTATTAAGGGTCGGGTCAGCGGCCGCTTCAGGCCGGCATGAGCGATGGCTTGACCCTCTTTAGATCTTTCTTAGCCTTCGCCTCGGCTTGCCTGCTCTGCGCAGCCTGCCTCGCCCCTCATGCAGTACCATTTATCTTGTTCCGGGGCCTGGAGGAGCTCCCTGACCCGCCGAGGAGAGCACATAGGGGCTGAGACCAAGGCACCCGTAGTCCGGCGGGCTGAAAGTTGGTTCCCAGTGGAGGGAGTGGGCCCTACCCTGTGATCTGCTATCTGAGTGCCCAACGCTTTGGGTGCGCTCAGTAGGTTTAAAACTAGGTGTCACTGGGCAAGCTTGTCACTGGGAAGGCTTGACCAGAGAGATGGGTTTGATCTTGAAATCCTTTCCAATGGATGTGTGTATAATTTTTAATAAAAGCAAAGAGGCTTAAGAATAGTTAGTGGAAATTTTTACATATTTTTTTTAAAAAAGGGAAAACAAATCCACTTTTTAGTCGGTTGATAATTGTTTCAAAACGAAGATTTATGTCTGACTGTTTTGGTATTGGTGTTTAGAAATAACTTCCAGTCGAAAGGGAAAACATTAAAAGGCTTCAGTGGTTGCCCCAAGTCAAAGAAAGACTGAGTGGTGGTGAGATACGGCAAGAGCTTGGAAAGATTGCTAATATAGATACTGAGAAATTTGTTCTTTTTCTTTTGTCCTGGAGAAGGAAAACATTTTTTAAATTGCAAATTTCTACATAGTGGCTCACATGTGCTGGAATCTTAGCACTTAGGAGGGTGAGGCAGGAGGATTGCCAAGAGTTTGATACCCTTATATGTGCTGCATAGTGAATTCCAGGCCTGTCTGGAAGACTTTGTCTCCAACAATAATAACAACAATAATATTGAAAATTCTTGTAACGTTCACATTCATACCCCAGTGATGATGGACAGCAATGTATTTGCATAGCTGTATGTTTTGCATCTGGGCGACAATACAAAAATATCCTAGTGGGGTTTTCTAAATTGACTCCCCTCCCCAACCATATCTCAGCTAAAAATGGATCCAAATTAGATGGCCTGGTCCTCTAGGGAAGAGCTCTGTGGTGGGTCATGATTCCCAGGCCTCAGGCTGGTAGAAGACACAGCAGGTACGGAGAGCTGAGACTCTGCTAGACGCAAGCTCCGGCTTGCCCAGGCAGATGCCACGGGTTGCCCTAGAGTTCCCGTTATTCCTCAGAAGTCAGAGCTCTCTTTCTTTGAATGCTCGGGCTTTGGCGGGTACTCAACCTCTGCATACTGGGGGAATGTTTGAGAAAGGATTACCATCTAAGACCCATCACTGAAAATCTTTTCTCTGTCTATCAAGGGCATGGAAGGAATCAAGGTGTTTCTTCACGAACGAGAACTATGGTTGAAGTTCCATGAAGTGGGCACAGAGATGATCATCACCAAGGCAGGGAGGTGAGCCAGCTCCTGGCACCGAAGGAGGGCAGCCATTGGAGGGAAGAAAAAAAATAAAAGGAAGAAGAGGCTTGGGGGAAAAAAACCGTAGACTAGAGACGATGGTTAATCCGAGTCTGTTCTGTCTAGAGAGTCCTCAGCAGGATGAGGTCCTACCCCAAATGCTTACCTCTGGGTAGGATGTTAGTTCCCGATTGACGGTGTGCACAGAGAGAAAGGTGGGGCGGGGAGAAAAGGTGAAAAACGGGGGAGACTGGAGAAGGACTGAGTCGTTAGACTTGGACTTGCCCCCTTACCCCCACTCCTATTCCCACCTTCTCTGACCTTGGAATAGTTCCAGGGTCCCACCCGATGATTGCCAAACCAGGGATTGTTGAATGTATTCGCTACCTCCTCGTTCATTGTTTATAGAGCGCGGGTGAAGTCTTTGAAAGCGACTAAGGGTGGGGGGGGCAGCTCCTCGGAGCTCTGTACACAGACATAAACACAGCCGATCAGCCATCGCGCTGGGCCCAAAACTGCTCTTCAAGGCCGGCAGGAGTGGCAAAGCTAGGCCTGGGGTTGGTGGGTGACAGAACAGTTCAAACCCTGGGTCTTCCGTGTGCATTTGTTTATGTCGGCCTGGGGAATCTACTCATTTCCCCAGCTGCCTGCCTGGGCTACATGCATCCCAACCATCTAAGAGGCCACCGAGTCTGCCTAGTGCAAGCGTGAAGAGACAGGGGCCAGGGCAGTAGGCCCAAGCTGCCGGGTGCCGGTAAAGGCAAAGGGTGGAGTTGATTTTTCCAGATTCCGCGGGTTCTCCAGCCCAAGCCGCCCTCAATAAACTGACAACAGTGACGTTTATTATTTCTTGAAATTAAACAATGTCGGCTCCCCCGCTCAGCCCGAGGCCCTAGTGAACTAGAAGGCGGTGGGTCTGTTTATATCAGACATCTGAGGTCCCCTTTCCCATCCTGCCCAGAAGGGAAAGTCCCAGCCGGCTGCCTTTTCCCCCTCGCTGGAGCCGAGAGGATTTAACTATAAAAGGCCTGCACTGTCTCTGGTGCCTCTTGCTGGGGCAGATAAACACGAAGAGGTCCGAGCTCCCGGCCTGCGATAGAGAGGCCTTCTCTCACCTCTTCCCACGCTGCACCAACCTAGGTCCAACGACTTGTCCTGGTGCTCAAGTCCAACCGGATCCCTTGCTTTCTGGAGCGCACTCCTCACCAATCATTAAGGAAAAAATTCTAGTGGAGCCAAGGTATGGGGGAACACTTAGGAATCCGAGTTCTGTACCAGTTTGTGTGCCTTCGGCTTTCAAGTTCAGGCTTCAGCTCTCTCTAAAACCAACTGTGGAAGGGTTTGGAATTTCTTTCCTGAGTGCCTGGGAGTTTAAGCTCCCCAGGGAAACCTGCCAAGCGCCGTGGAGAAGTTGCAGACCATTTATGAGTGACCGCACGCTGGCCATGCGGGGCTGGACTCTAACCCAGAGAACTTGGGAGCCGCTCTGGCAGCCAAGGTTAACCTGCAACTCTGAGGGCAGAGGACCAAAGTTAGTATTCAAGGTGATGTGTCCCTAGGGTGCCACCTTGGATGGCAGCCTCGGGCTTGAGCGAGCAAGTGGCTAGCTTCGTATTGAATGAACCTCCTCCTCACGGTATACTAGATTATCCAATTGGAAGCGAGTCTCTTTAAATTTAGAAGTCTATAAGCAACAATCCCCTGGCCCGTACTTTCTTCTGAGGTTCCTGCAGTGGCTGCGGCTGCCTCCCTTCTCTCTACGCCCTTTTCTCCTCCCGGTAACTTCAGGGGAAACCTGGCCTGGATCTCACCGAGGATGGAGTGGGGCCAGTGGTCTTCGTTTCTCAGGGAAAATGGCTGAAGATCAGGGACTTGCTCTTCTGAGCATTGGCACAAATGCCCCCTTCTTTCTCTCTGTGTTTTTCCTCCCTTCATCTCCTTCCCTCTCTCTGTTCCAGGCGGATGTTTCCTAGTTACAAAGTGAAGGTGACTGGCCTTAATCCCAAAACGAAGTATATTCTTCTCATGGATATTGTTCCCGCAGACGACCACAGATATAAATTTGCTGATAACAAATGGTAGGTTCCAGGGTTCCAAAGCTCAGAGAGGGCTGGGAGAAAACTGTGTTGCCTATTTCACCCCCAGCAACCGGAACAGAAAATTTATTATTATTATTATTATTATTATTATTATTAATTATTATTATTTCCAACTAAAGCTCAAGCCTTTTGTGCCTACTCTGTTGTATATAAAAGGACCACAGCCACTAGCTCCCATTTCATAGACATAAAAACTGAGGCTGCGGGAAGTGAGGGGACCCTGTGTACTTCTATACTCACATGGGCTGCACTTTTTTTTTAATTTTTAAAAAAAGAGTACTTTTTTAAACCAAGTACTTGATATATTTCTGGGGGGCATAAAATCATTTACAGTTATTTTTTATGAGTTACCTGCTTTGAACATGACTTTTTTTTTATGAAACTGCAAAACTGGCCAATGGCTTTTCTGGTTAAAAAAAAAAAACACGCCAGCAGAGGAGACTCCCATGCTCCTCAGGCAGTGGGCAGTGCACGCAGCTCAGACGTTGCAAAAGGCTGGCTCCTTTCAAAGCATTTGCATGTGCGTATTTTCAGATGCCACAGATAATTTGCAGGCAGCCAAGACTTTGAGGCCCCACACAGTCCAGTCGGGTATTAGGCTGGGAAAGGCATGGAAGGTGGGAAATTAGAAAGAACCAGGCTAGGGGTTTTCTCGGATATAGTGTGGGCTGGACTTTGCCTTCATAAGCATCCCTCTTCAGGCAAAGCCACCTCCCCGGGCCCTGGAAAGCCCTGTAGCTCCTGTCTCCTTCACCTAGGTCTGTAACTGGCAAAGCCGAGCCTGCCATGCCGGGTCGCCTTTATGTACACCCGGACTCCCCAGCAACCGGAGCCCACTGGATGCGACAACTTGTCTCCTTCCAGAAACTCAAGCTTACCAACAACCACCTGGACCCATTTGGACACGTAAGTATCCTGCTCCCCATCAGTGTGTGAGACAAGCCCCGCTTCATCTCCTAATCCTTCCCAGCTCTCTGTCTTCTGCCCGCCCTCTTCTGCTTCCCCACAGCCCTAGGGTTCCCTCTCCAGCCTCCAATTTACTTAACCCCAAGCTGTTCCCAGCTAGTTGGGACCCACCCTCAGGAGCTGGAGTTGTTTGCTCTTTTATTATTCTAACTGGGACTTTATCCGGTCCCACCTTTTCACTGCTGGTTCCCATCCTCTCTCTCTGTCACTCAGTACCTGGCTTTCTTTTCCCGTCTAAGTATTTCTTTGCTTTCCATGGTTCTCAGACTGATAGGCCACTCTCTCCTCTGGCCAGTCCTGTGGACTACCCCAGGATCTGACTTTCTTCTTCCCTAGGTGGCTGGAGATTGGGTCCAGACTGCCCCATCTTTCAACTCCCTGCTTTGTAACTGAACTTTCCTGGGTGAGGAGCTCTCAGGTCTCACGCCTCGCCTCCTCCTTTACAGGTGGCAGGTGACCTCTGGTTCCATGGCCTCCTTGAAACTCGGATGCTTTCAGATTTTACTTTATTCTGCAGTTTCTTTACTCCTTTCCATGCATAGAGAGGGCAAACCGAGATCAGAACCCTAAAACCTGGCATCTCTTGGGCTCTAAGAGAGGAGTCTGATGAGGGTACCCCAAACTATGTGAGGGTACAGTGAGTGTGAACATCCTCTCTCCCAGATGATGTGTGTTCAGTGTGCTCCCATTCTGGCTCCATCCTTCTTTCCCCAAAGTACAACAAAGCACGGGCTTTTAGAGAAGTAGCCCCAAATCTCTAGATCACTTTGGGTTTTTGGATTCTCCATTTAAAGCCCTTTGCTAGATGACTGTGCTCATCCTTGGACATCTAACATTCAAGGCTGCTCTTGCAAAGGGAAATCCAGGAGCAGGGGAGAGGTTTAGGGGACATATCCAACTTCATACAGTTTGCTTGGGGATAGGGGTTTCACCAGAGGGTACACAGTCTCCAATTTAGGAGGAATGAGGGTCTGTGTAGCTTGGACTTGGGAGTTAAGTTCCAATGAGAAATCTGCTCTTTCTAGGTGGATGACAGTGACAGAGGCCAACTGGGACCTGAGGAGGGAAGAGGGTCTCAGGATGGTCCACCAAGGGGTTCTGCATGTGGGAAAGGGAGAAGGCAGGATTGTTGGTAGAAAGTTCTATCCTGAGCATTTCTTATGGATCGCTGAATTCATAGTGATCCCAGTGCAGAAATATCCTGGGGCTCTTCTGGTCCAGGATTAGAAGGCTTGGGATATTCCTGTGGTTACTAACCAGAAGATAGGTTTAAGGTCCTGGAGGGGGCCTCCCTGCCTGTTTCCTTCCTCTGGCACCCTCTTCATGAGTCCTGGGACCCTTAGAAGGGTCTTCCATGGAATCTCCCGCTGGCAACTGAGTCTGTCTCACTGCCTCATTTCAGCTTCAAGCTGCACCTCTGTTTTTCTGACAGTACTTTTTGGGGTCACTCTGGGGTAGACTTCCAGGGAAGGTCCTTGGCCCTATCAACAGATACGAGCCACTTATCTGTCTCCCCCGCCCTCCCGAAGTTTCCTCTCAGCAACTCATGGACAAAGAGTGAAATACTCTTCAACGCCCGACTTTGAATCTAGAGTCACCCTGATGGAATTAGGGGCCATTAGATCACCCTCATTCTGAAGTCTCCACACTGTCCCCAGCTGTCAAAGCAATTTGGTTAAGCCGAGAGGATGGCTATGCTGGTCATAGAGGGGCTGTGGCAGTCAAGCCCGGGGCCCAGTGCGTCTCTCTGTCGCCACACCGCTGGTTAGCTAGTGTCATTATAAGCCTGGGAGGTGGAAGGTGTGTGTGTGTGTGTGTGGGTGTGTGTGTGTGTGTGTGATTAGAGCTGGACATCCCCAGGTAGGAACTAAGGGTTTGAATCTTGCATCTTGAGGGCCTTGTTTCAGGGTTGGGCCAGGGATATTGCAAGCCACGGTCAGCAATGCAAATAATCCGAGACACGGAGCTGAACCCTGCTACTGCTAGGGCTTAGAGTCCTCTGAGGAAAAGCAGGATCGGGGAACGGGTAAATGTGACCTGTTGCATTAGAGGGTTTTGGGGTGACTTTTAACAGTCACTCTAGCATCAAAATATAGGCATCATCTGGACAGCAAACCCAGTTTTAATACTATGAATGCATATGCAGGAGTCCTGCCTCCTCGTTCCCCTCCCTCTTCTCAGTCTAATAATAATAATAGTAATAATAATAATAATAATAATATAATATAATGTGGTTGTAGCAATAGCCAACGGCAGCTGGAGTTAGCCCTACTCCAAGTAGCTAAAGTGGGGAGAAGAACGCAACCACTTTTCCAGTAACGTAGAGACCCATCTCTGAGTCCCAAATATTGACATTCAGGGGAAGGAAACCTCCCGGTCAGCCTGTCCCTGCCTCAGTGGGACACTCTCCTCTCCCCACAGTCTTAGGAAGACAGATCCAACTCTCTTATACCACTATGACCGCCCCTTCCCCCACCCGATGACTCCTTTTCACGTTTCAAAACAAAGGACCTAGGTTTGAGTTCTATTAAGAGCCACCAATCCTCAGAAAAACTAAAATTGCTATGCTCAGTTGGCAGGGTCAGCCCTTGCTTGGCCTTCCTCAGAAGGTGTTTGAGGAGGGGGATGTGCCTCGACTATTTGTATAGATGCACATGTGTTCTTCCTGTCCCTCGCTACCACACACTGCTGTCCAGTTTCCCCAGCCCCAGCCGGTTCCTGCCTCCAGACTTGCCAGGCTCCCGTTGGGGGCGGGAAGTGCCCTTATACACAGAGTTAATTTATTAAGCAAACTTTATTAAGAATCCTGATTTACTGCCCTGTGTGCTTTGGGTAGGTTCCTGGAATATTACCTTGACTTTCTAATGTGGAAATTGTCATTTTTGAAATGTTTCTTTTAAATGAAATCACTGGCCCTTTTTCAAAACAGAAGAAAAAAAAAAGACTATTTTTTTTTTCTTTCCGAGAGCTCATATAATAAAGGCTAATTGGCAGTGTGGATGGGGGAGGGGCGAGGATCTAGCTGGAAACAAAGGGAGTTTTGATTATTTTTTCTCCTTCTGACAATCTCATTTTCTCTGTTATTTTTAGATTATCCTGAACTCCATGCACAAATACCAGCCCCGATTACACATCGTGAAAGCAGACGAAAATAATGGGTTTGGTTCAAAGAACACTGCATTTTGCACCCACGTCTTTCCGGAGACAGCTTTTATCGCTGTGACTTCGTACCAGAATCACAAGGTAAGCCCGAGAGAGTCTCCACCCGCCTGCACCGCGGGCCGCCTGCTGCTTTATGTAGACGCATGCGCTGTTTCCTCACTGGAATGCAAGCCCTTTATGGTCGAGGGTGGGTCCACAGTCCTACAGCCTCAGCTGCTATTGTCCTCCAGGGGGCTGGGCAGGGGCCAAGTTGGAGCTGTTTGCATTATATATTCGTGGTGGGGAAGCGTCTTTCTCACCTATCCTTTCTAGTTAGAACCAAACTAGTCATCCACTTACGCACAGAAAGGGGGAGGGGGAAGGTGACATTGTGCTGGGATGGGTGGCTAGTGCTACCTTTGGTGAGGATTTGCCTTTTCTGTTGAGAACAGGGTCGTGGTTTTTAGAGGCATCTCAATTGGCAATGGGGCAGGTGGCAAGGCCTAGGCTAATTGGGAGCGGGGGTGGGGTGGGGGAGCCCCACGTGAGTTCAGTGGAGCTTGTCCCCTCCCCCTCCATCTGGGTGAAGTTAGCTGTAAAGGTTCTAAGGCTGACAGGGGAGGCCAGAGAAGGGTCACAGGCAGGTTTCCTTCTGGGTCATCCAGTGCAGGTCATCCTGGTGCTGGCTGGGTGGTACACAGTACCCCCACCGATGCTCGGTTAGAGCCCACTGTGGGTAGTCTCTGAATTCGGACAGAAGGTGACTGAAGTGTGATAGATGATCCCTTCCAGATCTAGAAAGAGCTTCCTTCTTTGCCTCAGAAGAAACCCCTGCCCCCTCCCTAACACGATTACTTTTTTTTTTAAAGGGAAGGAACAGAGCTGACCCCAGCTAGGACAAAACGGTGAGGTCAGTCAGTTGCTGTGATTTAGCGAAACTATATGTCACACGTTGCCCAGAAATCGGCTTCCTCACTGGTTCTTGCAAGCCCTTGTTTAGCTGTGGCCTCAAAGGCTCCCAGAGCTGACACAAGAGCCACAAATATGTCATCCACCTCCCACGCAGGCAAGCCTAAGTTCATAGAGGATGTGTGGCGGTGGTGGTGGTGGTGGTGTGTGTGTGTGTGTACATATAAAACGACCTTTAAAAATGTGGGTCCGTGGATCTTTGGCCATGTTCTGAGTTCTATGTCATGGTGATGTTATGATACACGCTCAGTGGATATTCATTGTTCTCGTCCTTCCTGTCTCTTTGCTTTTAGCTTTATACGGTATGCACTTTGCTGCTTATTTGTTTCTTGAGCCTGTTGGAGTTTGAACTCGCAGCTTCAAATATGGTTAAGAGTACATCCTGCCACTGAGCTGCATTTCTGGCCCCTTGAAGACTGACTGCTATGTCACGTGTGACATATAGGCATACCCCCAACACTGTCATATTTCTGTGTGTATATGGACTGTGTGTGTCAGGGGAAGGGGATCATACATTGTGCTAGAGCATGCTTGTTGAGTTTAGATGAAGTTGGTTCTTTCTTTCTACCTTTTTGTGAATCCTGGGAATTGAACTCAGGTTCTCAGACTTAGTAGCTAGCACCCTTATCTGCTGAGCCATTTTGCTGAGCCGTGTATGAGTTTTGAGCACAGTCTAATGTGTTTGATGATTGCATTGAAGCTCCACCAGGAATTGTTTTCTGTATTAGTTGGCTCTGGATCTCTAGTTGAAATGCACATGAAGGCCTTTTTAGCCAAGTGGGCAGATTTCATACACGCACAACAGGAGGCAAGTTTCTGCCATTCCATCTTCCACAGGATCTTTATTTCTGACCTGTCGAGCCCCAAAGTGGTTAATTTTCTGTGCGAAGAGCCCAAAGATATACATTTCCCAGTCAAGACCCTTGAAAACATTCCTCAAGTGATGTAGGACCTGTGACTTAAATAAGTGGACCATGGGTTCTCATAATTTGTGGACAGTATCTCTGCCTTCACTGTCCCAGCTGGAAAGAGTGTTGAGTTAGCTGAGGATATAGGTTAGCCCGCTGAGATGTTACCACCATGTGGATTAAGGGCTGGACCCCACTGGGGGACGAGTGCTCAGATTCAAAGGCAGGATCTAACTCAGTTTCCCATCTGTAAAATGGGAGTCACAGTACCATCTACTTCATGGGGTCCTTGTTAGGATTACCCCCAGATAATCCCTGGAAGTGTCATAGACTACAGGACAATGGCTTGGATCTAGCCACTGGTTAGTTTGCTTCCAGGTCAGCTCTGTTCAAAACTTTGAGGTTTTGGAAACCTCTTAGCCTGTTCCTTGAGTGTATTGAAAACTTCAGGACTGGCATTTTAAAAGTAAGTCTCATTGTGGTTGAAAAATCACGACAAATACTGGTCTCTGTGGTTCCCTTGGTTCCTTGTCGATCAAGAACGAACTTGTTTTGTCTTGGATGAATGAGTTTGGGGGAAGTATCCTGGGCTAGTGCACAGCCAGAAATCCCTGGGGGATGTAAGCCCCTGTTTGAGAAGAGGCTCACAGAGCTCAGCGCACCCAGGATGCTTTCCGAATGCTAGGCAGGTGCCAGGCAGGGTGCGTAGGTGTCACTGTTCCTTTCTTAGGCAATAAGGCACAGACCTTCCAACACAGGACCCTTAATGATGGGCTGTATTTCCTCAGCCCAGCTGTGACCCTAAGCTGGATTTGGGAGTTATTTCCCCAGATGTTTGACAGCCTGGAAAAAAAAAAAAGATATTTAAAAACTCGAATCTTCCCCAGCTCCGACGTTCATTCGGGAAACACGTCTTTGTTTGGGTTTTTACAGCAGTTGTCAGCAGCTCCAAGCACACTGCCTAGAAATATGTAGGTGTTAAACACAAGTCACTCGGCATTTCATTTCCCGGTTCTTACTACAATGGCTGTATACGCAAGCCCGCATGTCCCTCAATGTTAACTGACTTTTCCATCCCAAGAAGCTTTGCTCCAGCTTAAGACCTTGTATATCGGAGTCCATATTTATGAGGTACAAGCTTTCTGGTTGGGACCAGGAAATGAAGCCCCGAATAGAGAGACATAATTAAGATTTTTTGGCCCTCGTGAGTTGTTTTTTTTTCCCCTCCCAAAAGCAAGAATTTGCAACAATTATTTTCATTAATTTTTACAACCGCTGTCTGACTGGTTGGAGCTGGCATTTATGTTTGCTCCCCAACCCCCACTCTCTCCCTTCCCCGGATATCCGGTTTTATGCTGATTTTGGAAGAGAGTGCATTTGTATGGTAAATAGAAGGAGGTTTCCCTGGAGCTTTTTGGTAGGTATAGCCTTCCAGGTGTGCAGATTTGGGGGCTCCTAAGCTGACATGTACCCTACGGGGGTGGGGAGGTGTTATAGAGTGATTTATAGTGTAAGAGGCCGTGTGCAAAATAAAATGTGTTTTAGCAGCAGATGAGCCTGTGTAGGATTTCTCAATGATGATTCTGGGGTGCATGTGTGTGTGTGTGTGTGTGTGTGTGTGTGCCTGTGGTGTGTGTATGTATGTGTATGTCTGTATGTCTGTGTGGTGTGAGTGCTTGTGTATATGAGGGATGGGTGCATGTGTACATGTGTTTGTGTGTGTATGTGTGCACATGTATATGCCTGTGTGGGGTATGTGTGTGTATACATATATGTGTGTGTGTATGTATGCACATGTGTGTGTATGTTTGTGGTATGTGTGTATACACATGTATATACCTGTGTGTACCTGTGTAGGGTATGTGTGTGTGGGATATGTGTATGTGTACATGTGTTCTTGTATGTATGTGTGCACATGTGTATGTGTGTTTGTGTTATGTGTGTATACACATGTATATGCCTGTGTGGGGTATGTGTGTGGGGTATGTGTGTATATGTACATATGTATGTGTGTGTATGTGTGCACATGTGTATGTATGTTTGTGGTATGTGTGTATACACATGTACATGCCTGTGTGTTTGTGCCTGTGTGGGGTGTGTATATGTGTGTACTTTCATACCATGCCTACAAATAGAGGTCAGATGACAACTTGAAGCTAGTTCTCTCCTTCGTTCCTTCCTATTGGTCTTGGGGATGGAGCTCAGGTGTCCAGGCTTCATGGCAAACACGGTTACCAGCTGTGCCATCTCACTGGCTCCGCCTTGCCTTTGAGCTCAGAGCTCGTCAATTGGCTAGCCTGGCTAGCCAGTGACTTCCTGGGGATCCTCCTGTCTCTGTACCCCCAGAACCAGCATCCAGTGGGATCTGAACTCAGGTCTTCATGCCTGTGCTGGGGGCACTTTAACTCCTGACCCATCACCCCAGCCCTCCCCAGCAGTGCTTTACGCTTATATCCTGGAGGGGTCTACACCGTCCCTGAAAGAAATGACGTGGCTGTTGTGGAGAGCCCAGCAGTGGAGTAGTGTGTGCATTCTCTTTCCAGCACTGCCTAAAAGGAGATACATTTAAAAATCAACGTTTAGGTGTATCTATAACTAATTATTTTTTATTCCATGCAATGAGTTTTTGCTTTGTTTCATTATTTTTTGAGACAGAGTCTCAGTAAGGGACCACAAACTCATGATCCTGCCGCCTCAGGAGCATGGTGGGATTACAGGTGTGAATTATCACACCTGCCTGCCATCATGGTTTTGTATGAATTAAGGAGTGGTGAGCTTGTGAGTGACCTCAAGTGACACAAAGACAATCAGTGTGAGCAAAACCAACTAACCAACCAAACAACCAACCAACCAACCAAACAACCAAACAACCAACCAACCAAACAAACAAACAACCAACCAAACAACCAACCAACCAACCAACCAAACAAACAAACAAACAACAAACAAACTAACAGCAACTTATTTAAGTGTTTTACCTGCATGTATGTCTGTGCATATGTGCATGTGTTTTCCTGGTGCCCATAAAGTTCAGAGTAAGACATCAGAACCCCTGGAACAGGAGTTACAGACAACTGTGAGCCACCCTGTGGTTACTAGGAACTGAATCTGGGTCCTCTGGAAGAGCAGCCAGTGCTTGCAATTGCTGAGCCATTTTTTTTCCAGTCTAGCAAAAAGCTTTTATTTTTCCCCAGAAAAAACAAAACCCACATTTTTTCACTTTTTCTTGGTCCAATTTTGGGTCCTAAGTTCTTAAAGGGTCAGCGATGTTCTGGGCTGGGCCCTGGATTCACGGCCTCATCCGTCCTCTGCATTGCAAGGACCGGTAGGGATGAGCTTCAGTGACTGGGGTGGGAGGGGGGATGAGGGACAGAGGACTTGTTCCATCCTGTTTAATTATCTAGTTATTATTATTATTATTTATTATTATTATTTTATGTATAATAGAGTCTCATGCAGCCCTGACTGGCTTTCAACTCAGTATATAATCAAGGACCTTGAACTTTTTAATCCTTCTGCCTCCATGCCAGAGTTCTGGTGGAGATCACAGGTGTCTGCCATCATGTCTCATTTATGTTTCTGCAATTCTGAACCCAGGACTATGCTAGGCAGGCACTCTGTCAACTGTGCTGTACACCCAGCTACTACCACGACTACAACTATACTACAGGGTCTTGCTATGTAGCCCAGACTGATTCCAAACTCTTGATTCTCCTGCATCAGCTTTCAGAATGCTGAGATTACAGGCATGTGCCAACATACATGATCTATAGCATACATGATCTACAGCAAACATAGTCTACAGCATACATGGTCTACAACATACATGCCAGCTAAATGTGATCTAGATTTCAGTCAATTTTTGAAAATTAATTCCTTACAAAATGATCCTCCATTGGATTGTGCCTTATGACAGGATCTCAGGAGGACAGGCAGATCACTGAATCTAGATGTACATATTTCAAAGATAGCTTTCCGAAACGATTTATAGACTCTGACTTATACTGAAGAGTCCAGACACGATCAGAAAGCAACAGACACAGCCATGGAGGCCTATGATGCGAGCACCTGGGATGCTGAGGCAGGAGGATCAAGAGTTAGAGGCTAGAATCCAGGAGAATCCAGGCCTGTCAGAAACACCTGTCATTCAGTAAAGGGATGACAAATTCTCTCTTTTGATAGCCACAGGAAGTCCTTTGGGTTGGAAAGAGGAAGTAGATGCTGTTAGAGAAGGTTCTAGCACAAACTAGTCCTGAACTAAAACTCTATCACTGAAAACTAGAGAGTTCACGAACGGTATCGATCGGGGTGGGGAGGGAGAGCAAAGGAGTTGTCATAGTGGACCTCATTAGTAAAGAACAAGGGAGGGGGAAACGCGTGTGGACAAATACACACATATTTACAAAATTAAAATTACCACTTTTAAAAAAAGATCTACTCTATTTTAAATTAATGTGTATCTGTATGTATCCATGCGTGGGTCTGTACTCATGGCTGCAGGTACCTGCAGAGGCCAAAAGAGAACACTAGATCTTCTGGATTAAAGTTATGAGTATATAAGGGGCTGGAAACCAAACTGGGGTCCCCTTACTAGAGCAGTATATGCTCTTATCACCCAGCCACCTGTTTATTATTGTTGCTAGTGTGTGTGTGTGTCTGTGTGTATATGTGTGTCTGTCTGTGTGTCTGTCTGTGTCTGTGTGTCTGTGTATGTCTGTTTGTGTGCCACAGCACCCGTGGAGGTCAGAGGAGAGCTTCTTGGAGAAGTTCACTCTTTCTGCCTTTACCTGGGTTCTAGGAATCGAACTCAGGTAAATGCACATCAAGTACATTATAAGCCAAGCCATCTCACTGGCCCTAACAGTAGTTTTTCAATTTATCAGGAACGTGTGTGTGTGTGTGTGTGTGTGTGTGTGTGTGTGTGTGTGTGTTGGATGTTGCATGTGCCAGCGCAGAGGACAACTTGTGGGAGTCGGTTCTCTCCTCCCACCCATGTAGGTCCTGGGGATTGAACTTGGCTTATCAGGTTTGGAGGCAAAGCTCATCTTCTGAAATGAGTGTATTGTTGGATGGACGAGACAGCTCTCAGAATTGAATAAGATGCAGCCACGGAGAGAAACTCAGTCTGATCCATGAACTCTCTAGTTTTCTCTAGTCTGAGACTTTTAGCTCAGGACTAGCTTATTCTAGAACCTTCTCTGGAGGCATCAACTTTCTCCTTCCAACCAGAAGGCAGGTCCAGAACTTCCTGTGGATACCGAAAGAGAGTTTATCATCTTTTATTGAATACCAAGGGACTGAGGCACACTTGGATTCTCTTTTTGTCATATGGGGTCTCTAACAATATTTATGGGTAAAATAATTTTGAGTAAACAGGGAGTTGATTTAAATAAGACTCAGGGGCACAAGGGCTCACACTCTAATCCTAGCAGTCAGAATCACCTTTGGCTGGAGGCCAGCCTGGGCTACACAGTGAGACACTGTCTCAGAAAAACAAAAGCAGGGGCAGGGCTGTCATAGCAGAGGTTCAGAGTGTGGATCCCTAGCACCCACATAAATGCTGAGCTATCATGGCTGGGGTCCCTATAATCACATACCTCTGGAACTGGAGACTTGAACATCAGAGAAGATGGATAGCTCAGCTAGCTGAGTCTGCAGGCTCATAGGAGAGATCCTGACATAGCATGTAAGGTGGCGAGACCCAGGAAGATACCTAGTGTCAACTTTGGGCCTCCACAAGCGTGCTCCTAAACATGTGAACATTCATGCACACAGGACAACATAATACACATATATACATGTAAGATAACATACATGTAATATACGTGTATCACAACACACACAAATATACATGCAAGGCATACATGTAACATAACATACATGTAACATAGATGAGACACACATGTAAGACAAATGTAACACACATGTAACACACATATAACACACATGTAACACAACATACACATATATACATGTAAGACAAAACAAAACAGACCACAATGAAAGTCAAGCAGCATAGAAATGCTCTTAGATGTGACAGAGGTTCTGAAGGGGAAGCCTGAGCTGCTGCTGACAGTCATGACACCCTGGTGCTTGTCACATGATTCCATACATGACGGTTCAACTCACACACAACTTTTAGGAAACACTTCTAGCAAATTCCACATGGATGCATGCAGCCCACCACCTGGATCTGCTATTACGTTCGTGCTACTATAATACGTGTTGAAGGCTTAAATTAGAGTGTTGGGCCTTGAACCAACACAGGAAGAAACACACAGTTCCACTGCAGGGTTGTGACACAGAGCTTAAAGACCGGATTCCCACCTCCTTGCCTAGAAAACCACAGAGGGTTGGAGCCACTGGGCAGCTACCATCTGTGGGAGCCTCAGATGTTGTTGGCGTTTATTGTCCTGGGCAGCGTTTTACACCTGGGCCAGTCAATGCTGTCTGCAGAATGGTGAAATGGGGCATGGCTGGCCCTTTGAACGCTTCGATCAAGATGTGTTTTCTGCTATCAGGAGATTACCACAGTGTGTGGGATGTGCAGTCGCTATGTCAACACTCTCAGCTTCCTAAGGAAGAGGAGCCAATGGTGAGGCTTCCACTTCCTTTGAAATGCAAAATGCCTAACACACACACACACACACACACACAGAGCGAGCAAGCAAGCGAGCAAGAGAGATGATAATGTAGAATATGAATTCAATTAATAAGTAAACCAAATCCAGGTTTCCTCTTCCTTTCAACATCGATCTGATCTAAGGCATTTCCAAAAGCCTCAGCTGCAGTGGTGTATCCTGTCCCTGTGGCTGTGATGGCTGCATTGTGTCCCCTGGGTTGTCCGGGGGGTCTCTTTCCCATGACACTCACTATGCACTCTTGTCCCAAGACCCTCAAGTCAATCAAGTGTGAACCAACTTGCTCTCTCTCCTCCTCTCAGATCACACAGCTGAAAATTGAGAATAATCCCTTCGCCAAAGGCTTTCGGGGCAGTGACGACCTGGAGCTACACAGGATGTCTCGGATGCAAAGGTAAGAAATCGGGACAGAATGCACCCCACAAATCCCCCCACCAAACATCCCTGCCATCCAACAGAGAAAGAGATCTCTCATTCCAGTCTTGGTCTGGTCTTTCATCTCTGTGTCTGTCTGTCTGTCTGTCTGTCTGTCTTTCTGTCTGTCTCTTTGTGTGTGTGTGGGGGGTCAAAGGTCAACACAGGTACTTCCCTCAATCACTTCTTATTTTCGAGACAGAGTCTCTGACCCTTCTCTGAGTCAGCCAGGGTGTTGGCCACTGAGTTCTAGGGATACTCCTGTGTCCACCTCCCTACAACTGGTATTGCAAGCAAGTCTCACCATGCCCGGATTTGCCATGGGTTCAGGGGATTTGAACTCATGTCTTCACACACACGCAGCTGGCATTTTATGGAATGAGCCGTCTTCCTAGTCCCTCTTCTCATAACTTTTAGGATGTGGAAGGATGCTTTTGGGCAGCCTGCAGTGTGAATGTCTGGGTGGGAGACTGTGGAGTCTAGCCTGCCAGGGACTCAAAGCTACATGCGTGCTGCCTCCTCTTCCTTTATTGTGTCCCGTCACCCCCTCCTCCTCCTGAAACCTTTTCCCCTTCTCATTCCCATCCATCTCAGCCGATGAAGGCTGTTCTCTCTGCAGCAGCTCTCCATAAATGAGAGAGAAGTTAACAACTCCACTTCCTGGGGGTGAAACACAGACCAACTTGACACCAGGTGGTGTCCACGGCACCCTGGGGGTAGGGATGGGGATTGGGGGGTGGGGGTGTGGGTAGGGAGCCAGTGCTAAAAGTCATTTGCTAGTTTGACATATCCTGTGGTTGCAGCCGCTGACTTGACAAATAAAAGGGGGTGGTGGTGGAAGAAACGTACTTGAGAGAGGCTTGGGTCTGACTGAGAGGACTGAAAGAGCACAGTCGGATGTCAGCTGCTCTCTGAACTCCCAGTGTGACCTGCTACATGGCAAGAGAATTTGAAATCACGTCTCGATACCCTTAGCCAAATATGTGCATGCACACACACACACGCACAGAGGTACACACACATACATATACATAGGCACACACAGATACACACACACAGATACACACACAGAGGTGATATGCACACATATACACAGGTACACACACAGACACACACACACACACAGAGGTACACACACGTACATATAGGTACACACACAGGCACACAGATACACACACACACATGCACACACACAGAAGTATAGCACATACACTTAGGTACACACAAAGGCACACACATGCACACAGGCACACACACACAGAGGCACACACACAGGTGCACAGATACACACATATACACATGATCACACAGAGGCATACATGCACATGGGTACACCTGTTCTCTCTCTCTGTCTCTGTCTCTGTCTCTGTCTCTCTCTGTCTCTCTCTCTGTCTCTCTGTCTCTCTCTCTGTCTCTCTGTCTCTGTCTCTCTCTCTCTCTTTCTCTGTCTCTCTCTTCCCTCTCTCCAGGTTTAATGATTCAAAATAAAATGAAATCCTTGGTGAGGCTCAGGAAGATAGATAAAGGGAGGGTCATTAGATACAGGACACAGTCATCTAAGAAAGGTAAAAGACCGTAGAAGAGAAAGGGATGGAGGTCCATGGTCTTGGTGTCTAAACACTGCACTGAGAACTGTGTGTTGTGAAATTAATTTAATTACAAATATTCTTTTACTTGCATGGCTATTTTGCCTGCACATAAGTCTGTGTACTATGTACACTCAGTGCCACAGAGGCCAGAAGAGGCCAGCACATCCCCAAGAACTGGAGTTATAAATGGTTCTGAGCCCCCATGTGGGTGCTGTCAACCTAGTCCAGGTCCTCTGCAAAGAGCAACAAGTGTTCTTCACTGCCAAGCTATCACTCCAGCCCCAGGACTATTTAAACTCAGCATTTTCAAAATGCATCTGGAAATTGCCAGTCGCTGTTCCCGTCTAATCAGAGTCAGATACAACTGTTTGAGCCCCCCCCCCCCGAGCCAAGTTTAGAGTCACATTCCACACTTGGTGACATTGCTGTAGAGGTAGCCACAGCCATTGCTGAAGCCTTGTCTAAGAGCTATAGGTGAAGGGCCAAACTGGGCTACTTTATAGAAGCATGGGTCATCAAAGAGTCTAGCATCTCCCACCTGCTCCATCCTTCCTACAGGGGCCTGGTGCATTGAAGAGGTCAGGAGGCTCCTCCCTCTCCAGCTTCACCAGGCCTACGGAGTGTACCTCTTTCTGTGCTAAGAACCGAACTCAGGGTCTCACACGTGAGGAAGCCCAGTTCTACTACTGAGCTCCCCTTCCGGTCATATTCTTCTTACTGTATCCTTCTTGACTTATGCTTGAATGAAGCTCCCTTCTCCTCTGGAGTCTTCTCCAGGTAGTCCCACTGAGACGCTTGGAAAACACAAGCTCACAAGATCACTGTACACTTGGGAACTCTCCAGATTCTTATCACTGTGGAGGGAGGTCCAGACCTCTGACCACGACTGACCACACCCTTTCTATCAGGCTCTGCTCCCCGGTGTCTCTGTCTGCTCTGAATCTGTTTGCTTGTTCTTGTTTGTAGCCCTGGGACCTGCGTTCAGTTTGTGTCTCATCCTTCCCCTTCCTTCCTTGATCAGCTCTCAACATCAGTGGGTTTCTCGGGGGTCTCCCTTCCTTTAAGGATCTTCCCCTGCTGGACCCTGCTTTTTGGAAGCTCATAGGAACAGGTATCAGATGGGAAAGGAGACCGGCAGGGGAAAGGACGGGCATTTGAGAGTTAGGACACATTGATACACTAACCAGTCCTCATTACAACCCCTATTCCTGTTTGACTGAGTCTCCGTCTGTCTGGGTGTCAGATGGAAAGGGGGAAAGAGAGGGTGCAGGGGGAAAAAAGAGAGGGGATGAGAAGAGAAAGGGAGGGGCAAGGAGGGAAAGGGAGGGGCTGGTCACCACTCTTTATCCTGCTGGAGCCAGTCTCTCAGCCTAAGAGCCACAGGTCTTTGCAGCCACATGCAGAGTTGTGTTGCGAAACTGAGAGAAGGCTAGACCTTTTGGGAGATTAGACAGGGTGTTTTTTGCAGGTGGCCTTAGGAACTATGGTGGAGGAAGCAAAATGGTCAAAGTGACAATTTCAAGGTCAGTCAAAGCTAGGGGGTTATCCCTGGCCCTGTGTCAGTCATTGTGCAACTCTGGGGAAGTAAGTTAACTGTCCAGGGACTCAATGTTCCCACCTGTGAAATGGGCACAAATAATCATAGATTACGTGTTTTCAGGGTCTTGCAAAAATTACTTGAGAAAATGGAGGCAAGGAATCTGGATCCTAGTCTATTCTCAGGACACTTTCCCTGATCCAGGGGGAAATCTCCCTGGGACTGTCAGTTCTAAGTTTGTTCAGAATTTATTTTGGGCTGTTGTCCCAGCCCCCCAGGTTGCAGTAGGTAGTGACAAGCAAGGACTGTGGCTCTTGGAGTCAACTGTGATAAAGGTCGGCTCACTGTTAATCTTGTAATTCTGTTTCCTGTCCTCCACACACCCGGTGACAGCTGACTCTAAGAGGAGGAGGAGGAGGGATAAAATCTGGAAGAATCGAGAGAGAGAGGCAGGACTCTGGAGGGCTACACAGCTCTTCCACAAAGCTTGCTTCTGGCTCGCCCAAGGCCTGGACAGTCACACTGCTTTGCTCTCTTTCTTCTGATTCTGTGTTTGGAAAAACACAACAGTGACATGGCAGCTCCCAACCATTTGTGACTTCAGTTCTGATGTCCTTTTCTAGCTTCTGCGAGCTCTGTAGACATGTGCCACCCAGATATGCATGCAGCCAAATCCTCATACACATAAAATAAAATATAATAAGTGTTTCTAAAAACAATAAAGTAGGACCTGGGTTTCCCAGTATTCACTTATGGTGTCTAGTTACAGGAGCCATCACCACTTATAATAAACATGGGAAAGCTGGGAAAAAAAATTAAACTACTTACACGTTACCTGTTTCCAGCTTCCAGTGACAGTACGCACAGCACCCAGGTGGCTTAGAAAGGGGTGGGGCTTGCAGTAAAACAACAACAACAACAACAACAAAAACAGCGTTCCTCAAGTCCTAAAAAGTGAGCGACTGGGGAGCTGATTTTAGAAGGTGCACGGACTCACCTCGAGTGTCGGTGCTGTGATCTCAGAGATGTTACTGTGATGCTGGAGAATGAGATTAAGTTAATAGAAGGGGAAGAAGGAAAAGGAAGAGAAGGGAAAGGAAGGAAGGAAGGAAGGAAGGAAGGAAGGAAGGAAGGAAGGAAG